ATAGATAGAAAGAAATACCGAAGGACAGATAGATAGATAGATAGATAGATAGATAGATAGAAATACCGAAGGATGGACAGATAGATAGATAGATAGATAGATAGATAGATAGATAGACAGATAGATAGATAGATAGATAGATAGAAAGAAATACCGAAGGACGGATAGATAGATAGATAGATAGATAGATAGATAGATAGATAGATAGATAGATGGATGGATGAACTCACCTGAGAACACACTGGGGATCTTGGAGAGGAAGCTCTTGACGGTGCGGATGGGAATCCCGTTCTTCTCGTCCTGCATGCGAGCGATGATGTCTTCCATCTGCAGAGAAAGAGAGAGAGAGAGAGAGAGAGAGAGAGAGACACAGACAGAGAGAGACAGAGACAGAGACAGAGACAGAGAGAGAGAGAGAGAGACAGAGACAGAGAGAGAGACAGAGACAGAGACAGAGACAGAGAGAGAGAGAGACAGAGAGATAGAGAGAGAGACAGAGACAGAGAGAGAGAGAGAAAGAGAGAGACAGAGACAGAGAGAGAGACAGAGACAGAGAGAGAGAGAGAGACAGAGACAGAGAGAGAGAGAGAGAGAGACAGAGAGAGAGAGAGAGAGAGAGAGAGAGAGAGAGAGAGACAGAGAGAGAGACAGAGAGAGAGAGAGAGAGAGACAGAGAGAGAGAGAGAGAGAGAGAGAGAGAGAGAGAGACAGAGACAGAGACAGAGAGAGAGAGAGAGAGAGAGAGACAGAGACAGAGAGAGAGAGAGAGAGATCAGCTTCACAGCCTGACGCCTGGAACAATCACAGTAATTACATGCTTCATAATTAGCCTCCTATTCTGAGTAATTATGCTTAATTTCTGTGATTAAACACTGTTGTACTCACATTTACTTTTCACTCTTGACAGCACAAACTCCCTCTAAACCCGCTTAACAGCAGCGCAAACAAACCCCAGACGATCGTATGAGAGCAAAGACTGAGTAATGGATCCATGAATATCCATAAAAACAGAGACATAAACCCGTCTAGAACAGCTCCAGCTCATACTGACCCCAAAATCAAAAGATACAGAAAAATAAATTTGACTTTATTACATTTCTTGCATTGCAACATTATTTTCATGACAATATTAAATCCACTTTTGCACAAATAATTAATCTGAAAAATAAAAAAATTAAAATGATTGTAAAGTAAATTAAGTATTTATATACTATACTGCATTACAGATAAGAATTACAGCATTATCATAATGAAAATCCAAAGCACAATCATCACTGAGAATAATGGAAATTACAAACAAAGTCAATAATAATCAGCCAAACTAAATATTTTTTACTGGCAATGAAAATTAATGTACGTTGTTTCATAAAAAAGGGGGGAAACACATCTAACTGCAATTATTATTATTATTGTTTTTTATTCATTACTTTCATTACTATTATAAAAATTAAAGTACTTCATAATAATTTTATATATAAAAATATATATATATTTTTTGTATATAATAATAATAATAATTATTATTATTATTGTTATTTTTATATATAACAACAGTACAATTACAATACATTTTTTTTTTGGAAATTTCTCTTTTAAAATGCTTCTCTTTTGTTGAGATTTATGAACCATTCTCATTAGAAAGTTTACTTTTTTTTCTCCTACTCATTGCTTATGTGAGAGCCCAGATGTATTTTCATCAGTTCAGTGTAAATTCACAGGTTCATCTGTTTTCAGCAGCTTTCTGATGCAGTTTAGCATCATGTCAGATGACGGGGCTTTCTAGGGATTTGTTTCTGCTTGTTTAAACTTGGGATTAAATCCTTCTTAATCTTCCAAAACAGAATGACATTTGGGATGCTGAGAGACCCCAGCGGGGGGCGGAGCTAAGCCAGGAGCAGGTGTGAGGCTCTGATTGGCTGGCACTCCGCCGGCTCGAGCCGTTTGATTGGTTTGGCCGACCGACACTCTCACACAAACAAACTCAAGCCAAGAAACGTCAGATTTCAGCAGTAAAGTCATTTTACATAGTAAATACTGTCTCTATGTCTAAAATGTTTTGTTAGACACCATCATATTTTCTTAAAAACTGACAAAAATCATTTTTATCAGATATAAATATAAATAAGTGCATACTGACTACAATGTATATAATGTTTAAAAATACACAAATATCTGGGTCATAGTATAATAAATAAATACCGTTTGTAATATACAGTAGTTCTATATATATTTGTTTAATGTCTAAAAAAAATAAATGTCTGGAGAATATTATAATACATTAAAATAAAAATGATATAATTATTTTTTTATTATTATTTAATTAATAAATTATTTAATTCATTTTTAAATTTAGTTTATATGTATATATGAAAAAAATAATATTATGAAATTAATTCATTAATTAAATTAAGTTTTTAATTTAGCTCTGTATATATATATATTTTTTAATATTTAATGTCTGGAGAATATTATAATACATTTTAATAAAAATGTATTATAATTATATTATTATTTATCAATTCATTAACTTAACTAAAGTTTTTAATTTAGTTTATATGCATATATAAAAAATGTAATATTAATAAATACATTTTAAATTTAGTTCTATATATTTTTTGTTTAATGTCAGAGAAAATTATAATAAATTACAAAAAAGTATTATAATTATATTTGTATTATTTATTTATTCAGATTTTAATTTAGTTATATATATATATAAATGTAACAAACAAACAAACAAACAACTAAATAAAAAAATAAATAAATGCACTTTAAAAGTAGTTCTATATATTTTTTGTTTAATGTCTGAAAAACGTAAATGTCTGGACAATATTATAATAAATTATAAAAAAAGTATTATAATTATATTTTTATAATTATTTAATTCAGATTTTAGTTTATATATATATATATATATATGTAACAAACAACTAAATACATAATTAAATTTAGGTTTAAATTTAGTCTAATCAAATGCTTGACCATTCAGTGTCCAGAAGCACAATTCTCTGCTGTATAACGTCATTTTGACACTTCTGTAATCTCACACACAGGAGCCCAAACACACAGGCGTCGAGAGAGACGAGTGATCTCATCCTGATGAGGCTCATGGCTGTGAACAGAGACCGTCTGGGAGTCTGGCATCGCTCGACCCGCGGGCCACGAGAGAAGAAAACCGGTCTACTGACTCATTCAGCTGGCCTCGACCCTGAGACCGAGTCCAGACTCCTCTCAGCGAAGCCTCCAGCTTTAGACACAGAAACCACAGTCCTGAGACAGACTCACACAGCGGATTCAAATCACAGAGTTTACAGCTAATGTCAGTCTAGTGACTCAATAAAGGCTTAAAAAACTCACAATGCTGATAAAAGCTGAGTGTTTTATTCTGGGGTATTAGGACAATTAGTCAGTCTGATGATGGACAGAGAGGATCTGTGCTGGAATAATCCAGCGTCTGAGGCGCATTGCCAACACCTTTGGATTTTTTAATAGCACAAAATGTGTGTAAAAAGTCTAAATAAATAAATACATAAACCAATGGGTTCAATTCCCAGGGAATGCATAAACTGATGTTACAAACACTGCTCTGGGTGTGTGTTCACTACTGTGTGTGTGCACTTGGATGGGTTAAATAATAATGATAATAATAATAATTAATAATAATGTGTTAATTTTATTTATTGTATTTTTTTTAATGTATTAATTATTTTATTTCATTTTATATTATTATTTATTTTTTCATGCATTCCCTGGGAACTGAATCCACCGATTTCATTAGTGTAGATATACATATATATATATATATATTTAATGTATTAATTTATTTTATATTAATTTATTTTTATTGTAATTTTAATATCAGTTCATACATTCTCTGGAAATTAATAAAATAAAAATTATTTAATTTAAATAAATAATTCAATACCTTGAAATGCAGTGTCACTTTGTGTAAAAGTGTCTGCTTAATGCCTACATGTAAATTTAAATAATGGAATTACTTAAAAAATATATATATAATAATGCATATGTGAAATGCATCATTTTATTAAATGAGAAAAAAAAAACAAAGGACTTTATTCATCAAGAATTGATTGGAGTGAAAATTCTCATGAAAGATTATGAAGACAAACATGTTTTTCTTTAAAATAACATCACTTATGTTATTTTATAACATACTATATTTTATCGTCATTCACAATAATAGGAGGAACATGAATTCAGGTTGACTGTACAGTCACTCCCACAATGGCATTTACTAAATTTACAGTAAATGTCACAGATGTGTGTGATCTTCCTCTGTGTCGCCCTCAAACCCTTGTGTGTGTTAAAAGTGCCTCGACCAATCTGAGCGCAGACGGCGAGACCCTCGTTAAACCCACAGATGGACCTGAGAGTGACGCACAATCGCAGCTATAGCAACAGTGTCAATATGCTGAGACACACACACACACACACACACACACACTTGTATTTGTGGTTTACGGGGATGATTCAGTTCTGATGCATCAAATGCGTATTTTATTTTTGAAATAACTGTCCTGGTTTCCAGAGGTACGTTCCTCCACACGAGTCAAAGTCTGCAGTGTTACACAACACGGAGAATCACGTGTGTGCCGATCTAAATGTGATTCTGTGATCTGATGAATCATTCAGGAGTCTCTCCTCACACCTGCCGACCAGCGTTTCACAAACCGCTCCACACTCTCCTCCTTGTGATGCTTTATTTTCTGCTGTTTTTGTTGAAAATTGGCAATTTTGCAAATGCATAAACAGCAGCAGAAGTGATTTAGCAGCTGAACTCTGAGATGAATACTGTATTAGTATTAGACATTAATAAAAAGCAAGAGATAAAATTGCACAGAATTTAATTGGATGTAACAAACATTATAGAAAGTGTTTTCTCTCTTGTAAAAGCTGATAAGGCTGTTTATTTTGCTTTCTTAAAGGGGTCATAGGATGCTACATGCACTTTTACAAGTTGTTTGAACTGAAATGTGTGTTGGCAGTGTGTGTACACAACCACCCTATAATGATAAAGATCCACACAGTGTTTTTTTTTTTTAATCTTGTTAAATCATTTCCCCTTTCTCAAATCAAGCCAA